TTTTTTAAACGTAGCCATGAATCAGTAACGTTCTATCCATGCTCAAGGAGGTGCTTCTTGTTGTTGGCATTATTGACGTTGCTGTCATTGTTGTCTGTTGTTTGTTGTTAATGTATCGCGACATGAACCTACATTATAGCTGCACTTATATCGTTCCCTAGAGAAGCTATGGTTTTAATTGTGCTGCAAGTTGCTCTAGGAAATTTAATGTATGCATGCTGCTGTGTGAAAAAGTTCTCTATTTTCTAGCCGTTTGCTGATGTTTGAAGTCCGAATTTAGTTCAAGTTAATTTAGAGCCCGGCATAAACGGCAAAGCACACAGGACTGTCGTAAATTATGCATCTTTAATTAAAAATACAAACAGACCGGACTCCCAACCAAGGGGAATCCAAGCTGGGGCGGATTTCCCCACCCCCTTCCCACTCGTTTCTTTTAGGTTTTAATGGCACAAGTCCAATGACGTTTTCTTCCTCTTCTCCATAAGCACTAAAAATAATACAGTTATCACAAATTTTCTATAAAATGTATGTTTGGGTGGGTTACACCTGTTTGTTCCCTTTTTTTAAACGTAGCATCAACCTTGGTTTCTGCAAAAGTCTGTGTTCTCGGTACGGAGCCAGACCCTGGTGACAGAGGCAGGGTCAAATTCGTCATTCCGCCGGGCGATCCGTGTACCTGCGCCGAGGTCAGACTGGGTGGTCACAATACGTACGCTCCACCAAGACGGCGAGGAACGGTCTATGTCGGCATTGGCGACCTGCAAAAGATCTCTGCAGACGGACTGCGTGAGCATTTCCATTGCACTACGAACAAACCGGAGAGAATTTTGACTTCAAATCCGCGAGGTGAGGTCTGCAGAGGGACACTTGAGAATTCAGGGGCGTGTCCTTCGAGCTGAAATTTTGTTGAGGGGACAAAACTTACTGAGAGCACTCACATGAACCTCCCCATGTTGCGCACGATGAAGCTCCGGCACGCACGTAGTCTTTTGGGAATGCTCTTGGGAAATGCATTGCTTTTATAACCCTTCATTATCTCCGTCGTCTGAGGCAAACTCTTGCAATCTTTATATAAGAGCCAGTTTCCTCGCATCAGAAAGGGTGATTCACTTGCTCAAGAAATATTTTGGGAACATTTCATAACATTTTGCATTTTTCCCTTACTGAAATAGTTACATAATATTCTGTCATTTTTCGGGCAGAAAATAATCAAGGGGCCAAATTTCCATCAAAGAAAGATTTACTATAAACAAGTTTTAGAAGGGAACGAGCTTCAAAGTATGCCTTAACAACGCTTTGTTTTATTTGTTTGTTTTTTTTCGTTGTTGCGGGTAAATTCAGTTGTCTTCTATGACAGAGTTTTTTAAAATCTCCCCCCCCCAAAAAAAATATATATATCTG